CAGGATGCAGAGGTGGTCTGCAGGGAGCTTGGCTGTGGGCCTCCTTCGCTCCTCCAGGGGGCGCTCTATGGGGAAGCGGAGGCTCCAGTGTGGAGCAGAGAGTTCCAGTGTGGAGGCCATGAGTCTGCTCTCCTGGACTGTCGAAGCTCAGGCTCAGCTAGAAGCAGCTGCTCACCTGGCAAAGCTGCTGGACTCACCTGCTCAGGTAGAAGAGGAGCTGCAGCTTGGGCTCAAACTCACTTTGTTCTCTCACTGATGACTCTCTGCTTTCTGTCAGAGCCTGTCAGGTTGGTGGGAGGAGCCAGTCGCTGTGCAGGTACACTGGAGGTGAAACACCTGGGAGAATGGAGACCAGTGGATGACAATGGTTGGACCATGAAACCAGCAGCTGTTGTCTGTGAACATCTGGACTGTGGCTCTGCTGTTTCTGTTGGAAAAAAAATGTCCACATACAGATTTGTGTTGAAGATCAATCCTGATTGTTTCAAGCTGAGATCTTCCCTAAGGGAATGTGTAGAACCATCTTACTCTTCCTCTGTGCTCAGTGTCACCTGTTCAGGTAAGCCCATCAATTACACAGTTTGTGAAAAACAACAGGGGGAAATAGTTGAAGGTGTGACACGAAGGAAGTGATTGTTAGTGGAAGACATAGATTTAGTTCATTTTAAAGAGTTTTGAAGGGAACATTTAAGCACTGAGACCAAGAAAGTTTATGTAACCAGCTGCAAACTCTTACGAAGTTGTACATTTGAACACTAGAGTCTATGGAGGAAGCAAAAGAACTGCCGAACAATACTCAGGTTGAAATTTGCTGGTATGTGACCTACTTAACCTAGCTAACAGTACCTGACGTTAGTACTTACAAATAAACAAACCTTTAATGATCCCATTAACTCGTTTTACTGCTGCTGCTCTTTCTGTCACACTCAGCAGTCGTCTGCATGCAGTTAACCAAGCAAAACCTTATAGCAGCGTAGACCAGACAGCTACAAATAAATCTCTTCAACAAGGAGAAATGTTCTCATGAGAACAAAGTACATGAAAATGTTTTAAAAGATCTGAAAACTCCTAATCATTACTCATGAGTTACCCCTGAGAATATTTAAGGGGCAGTGTTTCATTTCTCTTCACAGTCACGATCTGTGACAAAGAAAGGTTTAACTTTTTGCAAACTTCAGTCTTTCCATAAACTGCTGATGTTCAACAAACATCTGGAGGAAGCTGTGTGACTGGCTTTGTGGAGGTCCTGAAGGTGGATCCAGTACCTCAGTTTACAGTCCGTCGTCGCTCAGCTCGCTGCTGCTCCTGTTCAGAGGCTGTTTTGTTTGCCATAAGGCCTCTGATGATAACCTCACCTGTCATGGTCTCTGTTCATTTACAGACCTGCTGGCTCAGCCAAGCATTATTGTCCCCGCCTCCATGGACGGGGTCTCTGAGGCACAGCAGCAGGGGCTTCGGGTGTCCAGGGGCTCCAGCTTGACCATCAGCTGCTCCATCCAGCCACAGTTCCCAGGAGGCTCCTTCCAGCTCACCTTCACTTCCTCCAACACAGCATACAACTACACCCAGCCAGCTGTCAATCACTCTGCCCACTTCCTGTTTCCTGTCACAGAGCCCGCCCACCAAGGAAACTACAGCTGCTTTTATCGTGTTTATGTTTTTTCTCACAACTTCTCCTCTGAGAGCCGCCAGCTGTCTGTGACTGTCTCAGGTGAGCTGAAGCAGAGAGACTTTCTGTAAAATCTAACTTTGAAAGGTTTGCAGCCAGAAACAGTGACGAGCAGAGTATGAATGGTTACCACAGTAACGCCGGTTCTCTGAAAACTATTTCATTTACACAGCGACAAATCAAAACATCAGTCATCCCAGGCACATCCTGTTAACATCTGGACTGCTGTTTAAGCCAGAATGTTGTTTCTGGGTGGTTTTCCTGCGTGTGCCACCTGCTTCGTCACACAACACTCCAGCGGGATTCAGCTGACCTGGGCGTTGACTCCTTCCTCTTCTAATTCTTCTTTCTGAGTCACTTATTGGTGAATGTGTGCATGTGTTGAGGATCATTATCCCATCGACTCATCTAGTCCTTGTTCAGGTTTAAGACAGATGTGTCATCATTATGTTGCAGTTCAGAGTGGAATCAGTAGCTGAAGTCTCTCCATCTCTGATGCTGTGAAGCAACAACACACCAGCATAGTTCTGCCTGGTTGATGGTTTGTTTTTTAACATCTGCCATTGGTTTGTTCTGAATGTCTCTACAGTTACTGTAGCCAAACATTTCATCTTTGATTTGTCTATCTAAAGCAAATTATTTCTCTTTGATTGGATGTTGACCGACTGTAGTTTGTAGTTTTTCTTGGGCCATAAAGGATTTTCCTGGTTGTCTGCTGTGCCGGTTAAATGTGTACAAGCTCAATATGTTTGCATCACTTTGACACTAACAGCTGCAGAGTTACTGGCAGATCCAGGAATGAGGTGTGGGGGGTTTTGGAGACAGCTTTTTGACTCAAACAGGATTAACCAGAAACAAGCAGCTGCTTGATTTCCACAAAATACACTGATTGATCACTCCTGGTACCTTTAAAATGTAATACCAGACATACCCCGAACCCCAGAGAATGTTGTGTAGATAATAGTATGATGAGACAACTTCAACACCAATGACAACAGCAGGTCCTCAGTGTCACAGGCATCACTCCCTAAATACCAATGACCTGATCTGAAACACCTGATGTTACATGGATGGTTGGAAGAGACGATAAATGAAGGGATATATGTATTTGTCCACATGACTAATCAGCTTTTTATGTCTTTAATTGATGAAAAACATTTTCTGACTTTTAAGTACACAGCAAAATCTCCAGTGTTAAATTAACACTGTTGACAGTGTTATATGTTTAAAAGTAACCTGGTCAGTTTTGAAGATTAACAAAGACTAACACTGAGCAGTGCTGATTTTCTAACACTGGAATATTTCTAACACTTTGAGTTATTTTCCAGTGTTAGAAAATCAGCACTGCTCAGTGTTAGTCTTTGTTAATCTTCAAAACTGACTAGGTTACTTTTAAACATATAACACTGTCAAAAGTGTTAATTTAACACTCAACAGTGTTGTATTTAACACTCAGAGGTGTGGACCCATATAGACACTCTCTAGTGTTAATTTAACACTGGAGATTTTGCTGTGCATCACTAAACTCAGTTTAACTTGTGCAGGCTCCAGTCACAGATTATTCTCAGAGGGGTTTAAAGGGGTTTGTCCTCAGAGCAGAGGTTCAGGTCCAGATAAACGATGTTCACAGATTTCTCTGCAGTTTGTGTTTAATGGCAGCTGTTTGACTCGTGATGACTGTGAATGTGTTCGATCCCGCAGGTCATCCAGATCCCACAGGCTTCATCATCAGAGCGCTCGTCCTGCCACTGATCCTGCTGTTGGAGAACGTTGTCCTGTATTTCTACTGTAAGGTACTGAACACATGTTTGCATCAGAGAACGAAGCCCTGAGAGAGGAGCGATGCAGTCAGTCTGATCTATGTGTGCTTATGTCCCTCCAGGCCAGCAGGGGGCAGAGGCTGGGCAGACCGGAGAACAACAAGCTGGTTAACTTTGGTGTTGGTGCAGCTGAAGAAGGGCCGGCTGAAGAGGAAGGAGCTCATCTCATATCCAGATGAAGTTCTCAGCTCATCCATCACCTCAGTCACAGATTTTACTTTCTTTCTACCAAAGATTCTGTTAATCAGTCAGGCTGGAATGATTCTGTTGTTTTCTTACTGCCAGCATGAAAAGACCAAAACCATCAAAGTGTTTCAGGTTTTTAATCACATTTTTACACAGAAACTGGCCCCTAATGTACCTGCTGTTCAACACTGACTGCAGGGAAGTGTAACCAGAGATGGTCCTCAGTGCGTGAAGCTTGACCTGCAGGATGCAGAGGTGGTCTGCAGGGAGCTTGGCTGTGGGCCTCCTTCGCTCCTCCAGGGGGCGCTCTATGGAGAAGCGGAGGCTCCAGTGTGGAGCAGAGTCTGCTCTCCTGGCAGAACTTTATATAAATAAAGGATATTTGTTCTGCCTTTTATATGTTACGCTGGATAATACAGTTTAGTAATCTGCCCTAGAGCCCCCTCTAGTGGCTGATTTGTAATATTATTTTGATTACTTTGGAAAAAGAAAAATAGAGGAAGTGGAAAATCCAAGATGGCTGAACGTAATGCTGAAGCATTATCGTTCCAAGCTGAAAATGTTGCTTTGGACGAGATTTGTCCGTAAGTATGAGTGATGATTAAATAATAATTGTCTCTTGTTGTGTTTAAAACTTTGTTTAATTGAGTATGAAAGTTTTATCTTGTTAGCTTGCAGTAAGCTTGTAACAAGCTAGTTTGCAATGTTAGTTAGCTAATACAATATTTTGTATGTTTTCAGTTTTACAATGGTCAAAGAGAAGGTCAGAGGCCATCATTCAATAAATCAGCACAAAAAAGGAAAATGAGTCTGATTACTGGAGCATTGTTAGCTCGCTGGTGAAAACCAGGAACCTGAGGGCGAGGACAGCACACCATTAACTTTCAATAGTGCCTTTTCTCATTGATTTTCTAGTTGATTGATTTGATCCTCGTCAGCAGCCGTGTTACAGAGAAGGTAAAAGAAACAAGCTTACATTCAAACACTCACATGCTGGGTGGAGCCAAAGCGATCATGCACCCCCACCCGTGCTCCACCTTTCCTTGTAATAACAGAGCAGGACTGTGTGGCTGAGTGTGTTCAGTGTTTATTATATTTCTGCAGCCTGATAGAAAACATTTCTCATTCTTTTCTCTACATTCTCGGGCAATAAAATAAAAGCAGATAAAACTTCAGGTGTTTTTTCCCCCACAGCAGCCACCTGAAACGCAGCCTTGTGATTGGACGAGCACTGACGCCCCCTTCAGGACAGACACAGAGTTTAAAATGAGCAGTTTCTTCTACTTCAGCTCTATTGTTGTTTACTGTACACACAGATTTTTACACAGCTCTGACTCCTGACACACACACTTGTCTGTCTATTGTTTCATTTCACCTACACAAGGACCCTTGTAGATGCGATGCACCCCCCCCCCCAAACTCATAACCTAACCCTGCTTCTAAAGGGTCTCAGAAAATCTGTCCCAAAGTGGAGAACCAACGTTTTTAATCGTCCTTACAACAATAGACATACAAGAACACGCAAACGCACCCAGACACATCTTTCGCCGGAGGCAGCTTCTTCTTCTTCTGCAGAACAAAAGACGTCACACACGGGAGCTGCGTAGGATTGGACGGTCATGTCATAGGGGGAGGCGAAGCCGGCACACACTCCAAAACACGCACACCCACACATGCACAAACACTGACAATACACAGTGTATGGTTATTATCACAACACTGACTTTAACGTGAATATTAAGCTTGTGGTTCAGGTGAGCGGGCCGAGAGCGCCACCTGTCGTCAGAGTCATGTGCCTGCACTGGGCGGGAGCTAAAGTTCAGCCGTGTTTTAAGGAATCGTTGGTAATGAAGTCTGAGGTACCAAGTCGTCAGTTCTTTAACGAATGAAGGTTTAACGTGTGTTGGATCTTTAACTTCGACAGTCTGTCTCTCATATTTATGTTTACTCTGAGTATTTCTAAAGGTAATCCCACTCCTGGTCCAGCTGTTTACTGCCGAGGTCTGATGATGAACCCATTTATACACCAAAAGTCTCATTTTGAAGTTCACGCCACCCTCACATCACATCAGACCTCGAGCTCAGTGAGCAGCCGATTATTTCAAAAAATGAAAGAGTGGGACAGATGCAGAGCTCCAAGGACAGACTCCTGCTCACTGACTCGTTCACAGATCAGGCAAATGGTTTGTGACAAGAGAAGCCATGACATCAGCCAGCTTACAGCCAATCACATTCCCCGCGCACCGAATGGCTTAAAACTATAGAAAATCATTTAAATACAGAATAATAAAAAAATCCAAAGGCTACAAACATGGCTGCATGTGGCTTGATATCTATACTAGTATATTAGGAGTATGTGGAGCTTCTTGTGAGTTTCATTATAAAGTGTTCCAGTTTTGTGTTTTCACCGGTTGCACCAACTGTATCTGAAATGCAGTCCTGTGAGCTTTACTCCATCATACTTTTATATATTTATGATTCTTTGTATAACTAGTGTTTGAAACAGCAAACTTGAGTTATTATAAAACATTAGAAACAAATACAACTGGGAAATTTGATTGACTTCCACTACTTCCTGTGTCACTAAGCTCTTAGTATCCACCATTTCACCAGCGGACCACGCACTCCACACCTCCAGTTTCACCCACCAGTGTATATTTCCCACTTCTTCTGTTTTAAGTTGTTTTGTTGGCAAATGGGTGAAAACTGGTGACGTGGAGCTGCATGTGAACCAGACCGCTGTGGTAGATGTTCAGAGGTTCACCGTTTACCTGATAAAGATGAGCTACCAAAACACTGCAAATAAATCATCTATTTTTGTGAGATAGACCATAGACAGGATTGTGTTTGCATTTTATTTTGAAATTTTAATTCCAAACTCAGTTTTAGGATCAGGTTTTGGTTTTAAGCTGTTTCCTCTCTACTCACTGTTTGATTCACTGACACTGGTCTTTACCTGGACGTGAGGCTGTGTCTCCTGGTAACAGTGTGTTACTTAGTGGTTGCAGAGCGCTAACGTAGTGAGTCGGTTAAACTGTGCAAACTGGAAGGTGAGCTATGCTCTGTGTTACCTAAAGATAACGCTGGCTTTAAGGCAATCCTCGACAGACTCATTAAAGGGTTGTAATAGATTACAAAATGATGGAAAACCTTTTAAAATATGTCACGTCTGTCTTAATTTAGCGTGAAACAGTGGTTACAGCGTGGATTCAATTTCGGCATTTCTGACAGATTATATACACGAGAAACGGACCGAGGAGATAAATCCGAGAAAAAGTGTTTTAAATGCTTAAAACCTCATAAATAATCCACGAAACCCTCGTTCCTCTCCTTAATCCTAATCTACACCCCTAAAACTGAAAGCCTCCCAGCCAATCAGGCGACAGCTTCCTCAATAACTGAGTGGCCAATCACGCACACACACAGCCATGACTGATTATGTAACAGTTCAACTTTGCATGAGGTCATCACAGTGATGTCGTAGGGGGTGGAATTATAGAGCTCTTTCACACAACGGACAAAACGCGCACACACACACGCACACACAAACCAAAGCCCATTAATAACACTATGAATCAATAACGTGATAAAAGCAGGAATCATCGCCACCGCCCACGTGGCTTCTTCTTCCTCGTCAGTCCTTCGTGTCTGTGTGACGTCCACCGAGTCCGTTTAGTTTCCAGACAGGAAGTAAGTCTGATCGTCACCAAGTTACAGATTAACTGAAGCTGAAGATTACACCTGCTCCCCCCACCCCATGAAAGAACCTGAACTCTAATTAAGACACTAACGAGCCCGTCAACCCGTCAGCTGACAGACTCCCCCCCCATTCCTGCACCACCCCGAGCTGGTCCTTTCAGGTCTGACTACCAGACTTCGCAGCGCTTCCCCGTATTCATGGGTGTCCCTTCGGGGCAGTTAAAGTGGCGGCTGAAGTCCGGAGAGTTGGCGAGCGTGCCGATGACTCTGTATCGGGGAGGACTGTGGGGGTCGGTCACGAGTCCCTCGTGAGCGCTCTCTGGTGTCCGAACTGAGCACCACACCTAAAAGAACAGAACAGAAATCTGAGAAGGGACAAATCTCGATGCAGCATTTTCTTTCATTTTTTTAATCAAATGTCTCACAATCATCTACTTCCTTTGAGCAACAGGAAGTAGATGACTATTATAAGAGGTTCGAGGACAGATCCCTGGGGGACACCAGCGGTAACAGGAAACGGATGGCGTTTGACATTTTCTGAGTTGAATGAACTAATCCCATTTACGTTTGGCGGTCTAGATCTCTAACTGAAAAAAGCAAATAGCTGAGCTTCGTTGTTTGTCTGCAGCGTCTCACCTGGGCAAATCCAACGAAGAAAAGCTGGTCATTGGTCAGGTTGACAGCAGGAAGTCTTTTCTCATCTCCGTTTCCCTGGATCCATGACCGATAGGCCTTAGGAGGAAAACATCAACACGCGGGTTAGTGGGAGGTGTTGACCTGTTGCTGCAGCGGTTTGTGTTCCTACTCACGTGATACGCGGCCTTTAGCCCCCCATTGTCGGCGATGTTTTCTCCGAGTGTCTGTTTTCCGTTGATGTGTTCTCCGTTGACGGTGTAGCGGCCGTACTGATCCACCATACACTCGGTCCGCTGGCGAAACGCCTCCACGGACGAGTTCTGCCACCACGGCCTCAAGTTTCCTTCTTTATCATACTCACGACCTGATGGACACAAGGACCACATTGCAGCTGTGTTGGTACTTTCCTGAGGTAATCAGGATTACCGTCTGTGGTTCTCCAATTGTTTAATGTTTCACGCTCCTGTTTTGGTGGCAGTTTGGAGCCTGAGCCTGTTTTAAGCTCCCGTTAAACATGATTTAGTTCCAGCTCATTAGGTTTGTTTAGTTCATTTTGAGGTAAATTATGGAATTACTGAGGGTCCGCCCCCACGCCTGCCTGTTTTTAAGACCACGTGGACAAATCTGAATTTACATCACAACACGTCAGCTGCATGTGCGCCCCGGGCAGCCGACTTCAGTCAGACTTCAAAGACGCACAACAGGAACGACAGTCGGCCGCCAGGACTGCAGCCGTCTGTTAATTATCACCCCAATTCAGAATAAACACAGGCCACGCCCACACTGAGTGCAGTGAATCAAATATGACCTGGAGTGAAACTCACCCTGATCATCAAAGGCATGCGTGAGCTCGTGGCCCATCACCACCCCAATGCCACCAAAGTTCAGTGCCCTGAAAACACAAACACACAGCAGCCGAAACGTTACCCACACACGAGTCCAGAAACAGCTGCGATTGGTCTGGAAGCTCTTATAAAAAACACGTTTTATTAAGTTTATAATTAGTATTTTTATATATTTACAGTACACACACACACATGGTGCGGATGACCGGATCAGCACTTAATCAGAACTTTATGCCCAAACTCAGTGATGATTTAAGCCACACCCACAAACTGAAAGTCTAAAGTCCTGCCAGCGCCCCCTACAGTCAGCAGAGCTCATTACAACAACAATAAGAGCAAACAGCATCCTGAAGAGTGTGAAAGCTGAAGAAAAGAACATGTAAAGACAGACAGGCAGACGCATGGACAGGTAGATACTGAGGTAAACAGACTTGGGGTGGTCGTGGGCGTAGAAGGGAGCTTGCAGGATCCCAGCAGGGAAGACGATGCCGTTCTTAGTGGGCATGTAGTAGGCATTAACTGTAGGAGGAGTCATACTCCATCTGGAGGAGGACAGGAAACAAGGAAAGGATTGGGAGGAGGAGGAGGAGAGGAAGAGAGAAAGGAAGGGGAGGGAGAGGAGTTAATCTGCGGTCCAGCCATACCGTATAAATGTTCAGGGATCGTATTCGCAAAGTGTCAGCAAAGACGAGTTACTGACCAGCTGTGATGTGAACCAGAGCTGCTCTTCCAGCACCAACACCAGCTAATCTGTTGGTAGATCTATAAAAACCACTACGTCTCTGCACATATGCTCAAAACAGTGTGGGCCTTATGATCAGTCCATCTGATGACAGGATTAGCTCTGCGCTCAACTACAAAGATAACTTCTCCCCTTTGCAAAAATCAGTGCCAACAGGAGCAATGTCAGCCTCATGTACATCGATCCTGTTTGGTCCTGGGATATCTCGTCATCAACGACAAATTGTACCAAACACAGATGATACAAATATACTGAATAAGCTGGTATTTTACACAGCCCGCCTACAGCCGCGGTTTAACACATTGACGGAAGCACCAGCGTAGTTCAGTACCAGTCAGAGTCAGCTCGGTGTCACCTGGAGGACTGTCCCTGACCGGGAAACCTCATGTTTATCTTCAGCGCTCCTGTAACACCATTCATACGAGACTCCGACGGGAGAAATGCATTTGTTTCAGTTTAAAACCTCACATTACAAATAAGTCAGGTTTAAACCACAGGTGTGCTCTCTCTGAGACCTGACCTCTGACCTTTACCTGGGCCGGCCAATTCATTTTCCCAAACCTGCAAATGAGAAACTAAACTGTGACTTAAGTCTCATAATCAGCTCCACAGACTGAGCGCACAGTTACCTCTGAGCTCATAAATAAAATAGTGAAAATCCTCCATCAGCCCCTGTTTTTAATGCGAGCTCTTGTCCTGTCATTTTGTTAACTAAAAGTCTTTGATGTGTAGGTTTAAATTGGTAAAATAATATAAAAAATAAATAATATAAATACTGTAAACTGATGGTTACACTGCGTTACACTGTGAGTACGACCCCTGAGGACGTGTGCGCCTGTATATTTGTGTAGCTGCGCCTCCTGATGTCGGCGTGTATTAGTGACCTCTGTGTGCACTGATGCACGTGTGCATTACTGGTCTTTGTTGGGAGTCTTCCTCAGCTGGTCGGCCATCACTCGAGAGGAGAAGTTGTAGAAGTTCAACATGTTCTGGAAGAAGCTGTCATCTGACACTTCATACTGAAACACAGAACCACGCTGTTAGAATACATTAAGTTGAACAGCAGGGGGCAGCACAGCACCACCCAAACGTGAATCTAGAGTCTGACATTCAGAGTCTGCAGGAAACATTTAATTGCAAATGTCCTAAATCGGATTTAGGACGGCTTTCACAGTGTTCCCTCAGTGTGTGCTGTGCAGACGACTGAGTACCACCAGTCGTCTTTCTTGGAGCACTTCTTGGTGCTGCCACTTCAAAGCCCTGTGACATCTCGTGTTTCCTGGTCTGGCTGTTGATTGGCTCTCTGGGAGCCAGGGCGGGATAGCCACCATCACTTACTTCGGTTGGTTTGCAGAGGACCGAGCGATGTTTAGCAGTGTTCACTCACCCCGTCATAAACATCGTCCAACTCCTTGGAGTCCAGGATGAATTCTGGGAAGCCGATCATGTCATAGATTGCATCTGCCTAACGAGGAGCACACAGACAAATCGGTCTTTAACCCTTTTCCTAGTTATCAGCCTTTTTCTGCCTCTTTTCCTGGTGCTGTTGATATTATTTACAGTGAAACTGTTATATTATGGGATACCGGGCACTTTAAGCTCAACTAAGGTAGCCTAACCCGTCTGTAAACCTAACCACCACCAACATTTTCTGTCTCCTACATTTCAAAACCCCAAGGGTACAAACTTTAAGTTGCGTATGCGCTGTGTTTGTGTGTCTGTGTGGACCTTGTCCTTTGCAGCCTGTCTCGTCTGGTCGTCCATCCAGCTGAGTTGGTCTAGCGCTTCTTTGAACGCTGACCGGATGGCGTTGATCATCTTTTCAGCCTGTAAGAGATGAGCGAGTGAGCTCAAACTAACCAGACCTCAATCAGACCTCATGACGAAGTTTCCGAAGTCAGGGCCGGCTCAGTGACTCACAATCTCTTTGCTTTGTTTGTCAAAAGTTGCCTTGACGAACAGCGCTCCCAGCGCAAAGCCCAGGGTGTCGTCAGTGTTCCCAATGCAGGTCTGCCAGCGCGGCGTACAGGACTACGATAAAACACATGCAGTTACAAACTCCTAGGCCCAGTTAGACCAGAGCAGGTGAGTCTACAACCAGTTAGAAGCAGTTAACCTGCTACAGATTGGTATTAGCATAAAGAAGCAGCTGCTTGTTGAAACCAGTCCTGAATGATTGAACCAGTTGGCTCCAACTAAGGTATCACTTCCTTCCTTGGCATAACACATGAAACTAAGCGTGAGCTAACCAATTCAATCCAACTTTATTTATAGAGTACTTTAAAAACAACATGGCTGACCAAGTACTTTCCAGTAAAAAACAGTGAGTAAAAAAACTGTAAAAAAACAAACAAAACTGTATCCCACAGGACGAGTGAATGGTTTCAGACATGACCTTAGTAATGATCAGACCAGCTCTGAGTTTATTGTGTTCGTGTGTGTCTAAGTTGTTATTAAAACAACATGAATTTTAAACACGATGCACAGTATTTTATCAGAATGTCAGAATGTTTAAAAAACACACTGATCGCTGTTTCCGGGTTGTTTTAAGCATTCCTTGAAATAAACGATATTCTAGCTAACTGAGGTCACTCTACTTGAAGGGCACCGACTGGTTGGAACCCAAACACCATATTACAACTTACAACTCCAGTTATTCTGACACCAGCTGAATGCACCATCAGTTTAAGGAGTTGAAAAAGAAAGCGTTAGTCCCAGTCAGAAACACAATAACCCAAACACACATTGGTCCATTAGCAGGATTACCAGTTGCAGCAGTAGTAACACTAATGAGTGTATCAGCAGCAGTGGCAGTAGTATTTCAAGCTTCTGTACCTTCTTGGTCCCATAAAGACTCTCCAGCAGTTTGTCCTGAGCATTCTCGAAGCGTTGGTCCAGACTGGCGACACTCTTCTGAACCAATGTCCACATCATGTAGTTGTTCAGCAGACTGGAGACACACACACTTCTCATTACACACCAACCAGGCAGATTTAATAAGCAGGGCAAGAGCAGAGCAAGCAGGGCAGGGCTGGGCAAGCAGGGCATGAGAAGCAGGGGTAGGGCAAACAGGGAAGGGCAAGCAGGGGTAGGGCAGGGAAGCAGGGGAAGAGCAAGCAGGGCAGGGCAAGCAGAGGTAGGATAAGCAGGGCAGGGCAAGCAGAGGTAGGATAAGCAGGGCAGGGAAGCAGAGGCAGGATAAGCAGGGCAGGGAAGCAGAGGTAGGATAAGCAGGGCAGGGCAAGCAGGGCAGAGCAAGTAGGGAAGGATGGATGCCAGGGACTACGTCACTGTGGGACATGTTGGTGAATAAGAAGTTTGTACAGGTTTAATTTAGAACTTTCAGAACTCAGCAGTCAGTGTTGTTCTGTTTATAGCGTTTGGGCTGACAGGAGTGTTACCAGATGCACGTAAACACAGACATAAGTGTTTGATTATTTTTTGATGTTCATTCTTTAAAAATGAACTCGAGAAGTTATTCCTTTATAAATCGTACTCATCCTAGTTTCTGTTTCACAGTTACTAAGCTCCGCATCTTTAGCTGGAGTGTGATTTGGCTTTTTTATCTGTGCATATTTCTTAAGTTAACCCTCTCACTTCTCAGGCTGCAGCAGTGGGTCAGTCCCCACAGACACCTGTGCTCAAATGTCCGGCTTCACAGCGGTTGGTATACTTCACACAACTTAACTACTGTTTTGTTGTTCACCTATTTAAGCTTTAGACGGTGAAGGTTTTTAATGCATTTACCTGACAAAAATTTGGCTGGTTAATGATTAATTGTGTCTGTGATGTGAGTCTCACTCTGAGTGAGAGTCACGGAGCTGCTCAAACCTGCACTTCATTAATGAGAGCAGCACAGTCCGACAATTCATGTCAATAAGACCTGTGTGTTACCGCTGTGGGGGTGGGGCAGTGGATAGCGGCTGACCTGCGGTCTGTCTTGTTGATGAGCTCCGACACCTGCTGCAGGTACTCTTTGGCATACAGGACGACAGGTTCGGTGTCGTTTAGCTCCAGAGGAGACAGAGAGGACGACAGGTAGTCCAACCAGTCGATGGCTGGAGCCAGCAGCTGGAAAGGCAGAGACATCGGGACACATCACAATAAAACTGACCCCAGCAATGAACCAATCAACGGGGAAAATGAGACAAAGGAGCATCTGAAGAAGGACAAGGAGACGCAGGTGAAGCCATTCAGGAGGATAACAGTGTTGGGAAAAGAACAAAGGAGGGAAGTAAAACAGAGAATCCCAGAGGAGACGCTAACGTCCAGAAAGAATGAAAAAACATAACCACGAAGAGCGAGCAGAGACATCAGAGTGTGTTTAAAGAGTCTGACAGACCAGCAGGCACATCTGCATTCACACGTATGTACACGTGTGTGTTTGCTTGCACACGGTGTAGATACACTGTCAGTTTGCTCTGCATATAAAGGCCTTACACTCGAGCCCTCTGTGTTTGCCGGGGTTAGAGACCAGGTATAACCCAAGCTACCACCCCAAACACCACAAACAATACCATTTCGATTTACAACTTACTACTTAGTCGCAAAAATAAAATCTAAAAAATTTGCGAATATTTTAAATTTGCGGTATGAAAAATCAGGTGAATTTTGCACAAACAATTTGGAGTCACGTTCCACAAATACTGACTCGCGAACAGGCAAAGTGGCTCTGACTTCATGCGCATCTCAAACTTAGCAGCTCCTGTTTGTCTGTGAGAAAGAGCAGTGGGGCTTTTAACAGGGCTGCCTGCCTGTCAGCAGTAATCCTCAGTGTGGGAGCAGACTGCACCACCCGGGGGGGAGATGCAGAGATGGAAAGCTAATCCCTGCTGTCTGCTTTGCTTCAGCTTCAAACAGTCAGAAAGTCAAAAACTGAAGTGTGGAGACTCTGCGGGGAGGAAACACACCACAGCGAATGAGTGGAGGCTTTTTTAAGACAATGGCACAGAAAGCAGCAGCTCACAGCTTTGACACGTTTTGCTCTCCGATCAGCAAAGCCCATGTAAAGTTTCCACAGCCCTAAACAACATGACTTCACCATAGGGTTGTGTACAGCGGAGCAGCGGTCCTCACAGCAACAGGGTCCAGGGTCTGAATCCACCAGCCGGCTGAGGTCATTGGGTTTGTCCGTCCTGTGTGAGGCTACGTGACATTCCCACACTGGCCGTAGGCGTGGACACCAACAGGTTTCTGCGTCTGTGTTACTGTGCGACGGGCTGAGGACGGGGCCAGGTGTACCCCGCCTTTCACCCTGCTACAGCAGAGCAGTGGGCCTCTAGACCCCCACAATACTGCAATGCATGGGTGGAACACGGATGCATCTCTGACATAAACAGATCACAAATCAGCAGTTTCACCTTCTTTCCTGTGTTACCTACACGCAGCAGCCAGGCCTGTGCACACTCACAGAGTCTGTGAAACACGGAGGAGGCTCAGTCGTGGTTTGGGCTGCGTGTCAGTCGGTGGTGTTGGAGATCTTTGTTAAAAACAATGACTTATGAACTCAGAAAAGTGGCATCACGAATACAGGAAAGCTTCTGATTGGCTGCAGCTTCATTTGTGTGGGTCAGGGATGGGCCTGCCCAGAGCCGGACCTCAGCATCACTGAAGCAGTGTGGGCTCATCCTGACAGGGAACAGAAGGCAGAAACATCCAAAGAAGAAACCTGGAGAACTGAAGATGGTCACAGAGAGCTGCTCACACCAAACGTTCAGTTTCAGCTCATTAGAAATGCACAAACTCTGTTTTTGTCTCATGTGCTATATTTCATGTTTCAATAAATCACTCTGCCTATTTACATTGACTCAAGACTTTTGCACAGTACTGTACAGCCTGCAGAGTTTGTTCTTTTCTTCTGCAGGAAATATATCAGCTTCTCGGGAGTCTCATTTTCACAGAACTATTGAAAAATGTGCAAAAAATATAAATTTAGATGCTTCAATAAGCAAAATCAAAGCATCTGAAACAATAAATAAAAGAATTAGAATGAATGTGAGGAGGAAGAGTCCAGACTGCTGAGGTCTCCTCCATCTTCACATCAACCATGTTTATATAATAACCTGTTATCTAACCTCCCTCCCTCTCTCAGAGGTGCAGTCACATAGCAACGACTCATGGCAACGGTCGCCATGGGGACCCCCGAAGCATCTGCAGCCCTGGAGGACAGAGAGCTGCAGCAGACAGGCTGCGCCGCCACAACATCAGAGCCACAACACCGACGATGAAACACATCTGCTGAATTACTGTGGCCACCGCGAAGATGGCAGGAGGACGCGTCAGAGGAACGCGAGGAGAAAACACAAACGCACGGTCTGAGCGCTGCAGAACAAACGCTGTAATCTGACCTGAGATCAGAGAAATGAACCCAAACCCAGTTAGCAGCAGGAAAGAGGACGCACGCAAGCGTCACGCTGATAAAGACCGATGAACATTGGCCGTCCATTTGTCTCCATCACCCCTGACAGCCACCACCCGTGACCTCTGACCTTTTGTCCAACTGCTTTCATGTTGATTCTGTCAGGCTGCGTCTGCTCGACGCGTCTCTGAAGCTCTTTGACTTTCTCAACCTGTCGGTGACTTTTTGAATATTTCCAGCAAACATTTTTCTGACAGTGAATTCTGCACATGTGACGCCGTTTCACAACATGACAGCGAATCAAACACAATACAAAGTGAAGCCTCCGTTCACATCTGCGACTCTACGTAGACTCAGACCTCGTGACTCAAACGACGATAGCTCTCGGCTCAAAACAGAAACGTGACGAGCCAGATGGACACAGGTAAAGATTCACTTCCTGTCCAGCCTCAGAGGAAACAACCTAGAATGTGGGAGGAGAGGCTCTGAACCCTCACGTCTTTCAGATGTTTGCCAAACATTCAATTCAATTCAATTTTATTTATATAGCGCCAAATCACAACATAAGTCGCCTCAAGGCGCTTCATAGATACAGAGAAAAACCCAACAATCATATGACCCCCTATGAGCAGCACTTTGGCGACAGTGGGAAGGAAAAACTCCCTTTTAACAGGAAGAAACCTCCGGCAGAACCAGGCTCAGGGAGGGGCGGGGCCATCTGCTGTGATTGGTTGGGGTGAGAGAAGGAAGACAGGATAAAGACATGCTGTGGAAGAGAGACAGAGGTTAATAACAGATATGATTCAATGCAGAGAGGTCTGTTAATACATAGTGAGTGAGAAAGGTGACTGGGAAGGAAAAACTCAATGCATCATGGGAATCCCCGGCAGCCTACGTCTATTGCAGCATAACTAAGGGAGGATTCAGGGTCACCTGCAAACATCACTAGGTTCCTTCAGTAACAGTGGGCCGTGATGTAACCAGACACAGAAACCAATCAGGACGCCAGCCTCACCTGCAGCTCCGCGATGGTGACCTTGTGGTAGATCTTCTCTTCGTCTCGCCGCTGGTCCTGTGGGACGGTGATGTTGGCAAGCCCTGTCTCAAAGTCCATAATCTGCTGCATCTGAGCCTGAGTGGAGCTCCTCTCGCCCCCCAGCAGCATCCCCAGCTCCACCATGTAGTCCAGGTACGCCACCAACACCTGGAAGAAGTCAGGTTTATTCTATTTAAGCTTCAATAAAGTCAGCATGTCACTGGAAGAGGTACACTGCTCCAGGCATTCTTACCTTCTCATTGGCCGTCTTGTTAAGGTAATAGTCCCTGGATGGCAGAAAGAGCCCTGATTGGTCCACCTGCAGAAGAGATCGACACGGTGACTCTGTGACAGCACAGGAGTAATTTGAAAGCTTCTCTTTCTGCTGTCGCAGACAAATACAAAAAGCAAACACGTCTGCAGAAGCTTGAAGCACAAGTATTCTAGTGTGAAATAGTATTAAATAGTTTAAGTTAAAGAGGAAACTGAGACAGATGTTCATTCAGTGGCTCATCGGCTGAATGTGTCACCAGGTGTTTCTGCTTCACCTGAATGACGTTGCTGTTGGAGTTTTTGGGATCGGCGCTGACTCCGACGCTGAAGAACGGCTGACCTCGGTACGGACCGGAGACCACCTTCAGAACATCCATGAAGTTGTCTTTGTCCCAGGGGCCCGTCATGTTCCAGCCTCCAATCTGCACACAGTTCACATATTTACTGGAATAACAAAGCAGAAACGTGGAAATCCACGGATGCTAAACAGAACACCGTCATCCAAAATCCCATTTCCTGTAAGTATAGTGATGGCAAACCTAAAGTTCCACGTGCTGTAGATGATAAAGTGATGACAGCAAAGGAAGCCCAACTATCAGGTGCTCCCTCTTTGAGCTGGACTCGGTGGCAGTGGAAAAACAAATGAAAGCGTGTAAATAAAACGTAACACTGACGTTATCACTTCCGTGTGTTTACAGACTGAATCCTAACCCTGTACGCTGATGATACTTTATTATTGATTTTGCTACGTATAAAGTTTCCATCCAGGATTCATTTTACTCCAATTAGGAAACATCCCACAAGAAGGAAGCACAGAATTACTTCAAAATAAAAGCTTAAAAGAAATGATTTTTTTAAAAAACTGGAATAAAACCAACTAAAGATTTTAAAGAAATATTACAAAGTTTAACACAAAGACGCTGCTACAGTCCTGTGATAAAGGGTCCAGGTGAAACTACTGTAATACCTGCAGTTCTGTTATTTTATAGTAATACATTTTATTGTAACTGATCAAACAGGAAGTTTGAAGTCGTAGCAGAGCGAGAGCACGCTGATTGGTCCAACAATCATGTTTATAGTGTTCATGAAGTTTCGATGGAATAACACGTTTGCTTTTACTTTGTGTTGAATCGTGCAGATTTCTGTGTTTTGTTTTGATTTGGGAAGCTTCTGAGCTACAACGATGAATGTGCAATAAATGGAACAACAACGTTCCCGAGTGTGGACTTCGCTCCACGTCCTTTACTTTGGGATCATTTGATTAAGCAGCTTGACTGTGGTCACAACACAAAATTAAACCGTTGTGGTAATTTGTTATGATAACATACAAAATATCCTCAGTATTGTATGAATGAAAAAGGATTTTCACCACCAACCACAAAGATCCTGAGGGTCATTTTACAGTAAAGAGATGAAAACAATAATGTTTCCTCGTTAGTCTCTCGTTTCTCCTGCGTTTCATTCTGCAGGACAAAAACCCTCCAAACTCACTTCTGTCTCCAACCTTAAACACTTGGAGCAAATTTGCCTGAGTGATGCGGTTGCCATGGTGACCGGCTGTACCTTGGTGATGAGGTCTATGAGAGGCTGAGCTCCGAGCTCTTCGATCCTCTGGGTGTTGAGGCAGGACAGGTAGTAGGACTGAGTCTTCCTCTCTGCTTCGCTGCTGCCGTTAAACGTCCCGTTCTCTAAAGAATGAAAACAAACTTTGTAAACGAAAAAGTCCGCGTTTAGAAAGCTGGCCGTGTGCTCGTCTTTAACAGTAAAATTTCACAGTGTTAACAGGGTGAAGCCAGCAGCGAGACCATTAGCTAGTTAATGATCTCTGCACGCATCTCTCCGCCCGCCGCCGTACCCAGCAGGTGTTTGAGCAGCGCCTGGTTCTGCTCCCAGATGCTGTTGAAGGTGGACCAGCGCGAGCGTCCGTCAGGCAGTGGGTTCTTCCTCATCCAGCCTCCGCAGGCAAACTGGTAGAAGTCCTGGCAGGGGTCGGCGCTGCGGTCCATCGCCTCCACGATCTGACTGGCCACAGTGACACAGGCCTCCGACAGGCACAGGCCACGCCCACTGTCTGCAGAGCATCATGGGTGAGAAAAAAAGTCAAGGTCAAAGAAAAGAGTTGTAATTATGAGAGGACAGGAGGACGTCATGAAGGTTATTATGGAGGCAGAAAAGATAAAGATACAGAAAGGAAGGAGAATGGAAAAGCAAAGAGATGGAGACAAAGAAACAAAAGAAAGGAGGAGGCATGGGAACGATCCATAACGCGGGTGAGGAGGAAAGAGAGGAAAGGCGGAGACAGGAAAAAAGGAAAGGCTGAGGTGGACAGAAGGGCATCGGGAAGGAAAGGAGGACGTAGAGATGGAAAGGCAAAGGTGTGAAGGTTAAGGAGGAGCAGCAACAGAAGCCAACACCAAGGAAGCAAGAACCGAAAGAGACGGTCACCGAAAGGGGGAAGGAAAGGAGGCAAGAACTGAAGGAAAAAGGAGGTAGAGGAGTGAAGGAGGGATACATCACCTGAGCTGAAGCCGAGTCCCAGGACCACCAGGCAGGCCAGTAGAGCCAGGAGGGCGGCCAGCAGCAGGACTGAGAGCAGGACCTCCAGCTGAGTCCTCCTCCCCAGGATGTCCACACCACCCTTCCTGAAGCCCACCTGAGACACAAAGACGGTGTCATCCATCCATGACCCAGGTAATGGTCATATTTAAGCTCAAATCCACATTTAGGAAAACTGTCTTCAAATCTCGATGAGCTGTGGTGAAGTTAGAGCGCTGACCACAAGGTGTGCATGTCACAGTGTCGGGATAATGTCCCACAATGCAATGCACGCATCAGGAAAAAGTCTGTTTACCATTTACTGGGATTATACATGGATGTATGTGGACACAGGGATGAGCGACGCCACCTGTAGGATCGTACTGGAGCTGCTATGAAGTTCACTTCAGCACCTTCAACTTCAGAAGCTTCAAGTACTGAAAGTGTTTTCTTTGTGCTGCTGTGGAAGCGCAGCACAGTAATCAGAGAGCTGCAGCGTGTCCTAGCGGCTGCTCGAGCACACGGAGCAGGTCAGCCTGACCTCAGGCTGGTTCACATCGTGTAATTACTCACCTGGATGATTGAGAATGCATCAAGACACAAACCAAGGCTGCAGATCAAATGTCCACAAACGCAGAGTCTGTTTCCCGTTTCATGCCCCAAATAGTTTGATGCACTCTGTGATTTATTTGCTATTTTTTAATTATTGTGTAACCTCTTGGTTACATACAATACAGCTTTATTTCTATAGCACATTTAAAACCAAAGGTACAGACAAAATAAGAAGTAAAACATTCGTTTAGAAGATAAAATTACAGGGTATTCATAAATATAAGGTAAATGCAGTGGGACATTAGTAGAAGATAAGTAACATGAGGGTGAAGCATGGGGGAAGTGCACTAACGAACTGAAAACGCTCAGTCGAACAGGTGAGTTTCTAACTGAGATTTAAATGAGTAGATGGAGTCAGAGGCGCGAACAGCAGGAAGATTGTTCCGGAGGCTCGAGGCTGCCGGGCAAAAGCACCTCTGGTCTTTACCAGGATCCAGGCTGAACCGAGAGCAACTGTCCTGATGACCTTAGGGCTCTGCCAGGGGTATATGGAAGGAGTTCAGTGAGGTAGCACGGCGCAGTATTGTTTATGATTTTAAAGGTAAGCCACAGAATTTCAAACTCAATTCGGTATTTGACAGGGAGGCAGTGCAGGTGAGCAAGGACTGGGCTGACAGAGGCAAACCTTGTGGCTCCAGTCAGAAGGCGTCCGGCAGTGTTGTGGACAAGCTGCGATCTATAAGAAGGGCGGAGACCAAAGTAACGGGATTACAGTCGTCTAATCTAGAGGTCACAGAAGTTTCTCGAGGTCCTTCTTTGGTATGTAGTGCTTGGCCTTGGAGATTTGATGCAGTTGGTAGAAACTAGATTTAACTACAGAGGATACTTGCTGTCAAACTTAAAGGAGCTGTCAAAGAGAACACCTAAGTTGCTAACAGTGCCAGAAAGAAAGGCGGCAAGAGTGTCAGCAAACTGGCCCGTGAAGCATGGCTGTGGAGCAGCACGATTTCTTCTCATTCAATATCAGAGAGCTATCAGAGCCAGTAGCGCTGAAACAGTGTAATGACGACGAAATGTCAGCCGAAAATAAATTCACATCCACAGTAATTAAGGTCCTGATAGTGACGGACGATGAGGCCGCACCGTCTCCACCTTCTAACATATCCTCATTTTAAACTGATTTATAAGTGCTCAGCGTGTGCAGAAGTCTTGAATCGTTTTCTTGCCAGTAGTCAGACTCTCCTGTAGGTTCTTCTCTGGCTCGCTGACAAAGTACTCGGCAGATGTTTTTCACTCATTCGCAGTCCCATCCTCGTGCCTGACCATTTTCACAGCAACATGAACTCTGACCTGTGTGACCTCAGCAGATGAGCCTGGGCTGTGTCTGGTTAGCAGAGGACCAGCTTCATGGTGATGGAAATGCTGCCCAGCACATGATGGTGGACCTCAGCACCACTGAAGCCATGTGGGATCATCCTGACAGAGCACAGAACAAACGCAGAAACATGCAAAGAACAGCTTTGAATGTCCTTCAGGAAGCCTGGAGAACCGTTCCTGGAGAACCGTTCCTGGAGAACGTCACAGAGCTGCCTGAGAGCTGCTTCACACTGATACTCAGCTTTCGTCTGAGACGCTGGGTTTTCATGTTTGCAGCAGTTCTCCTGCACAGTTCTGTGATTTCAGACATCCTGCTTGTTTAGTGCGTGGTTGCGCTGTGACGTAACTGGAAGCCTGCGCGGTGCAGCACAGGCCTGATGGATTAAGAGGTTGCAGACGTGGGGCCAGAAGTTTGTGTCTGAACGCTCTGTCCTCCCCTCGCTGCCAAAATGTTCCCCAGCAGCCTTGGTGGCGGAGCTCCAGACCTCCTGCTGCTCCTCTCTTTGTTGGTGGTGGACTCACACTGCGGGGCCCCTGTTGGGTTTTCAGTCTGACCCCGCAAAGGCCTGCATGCAGGGGGTTGATGCCACTGGGTCTGGGACTTCACCTGGGACCAGTTAAAAGGCTTAAAGTGGTTTCCACTGTCGCTCAGAGCTGCTCTCTGTAAGGCTGAGAGGTCGCGACCTCGCCGTGACGCGCCTGACGCTGCGATCTGAGCTTTACAAATAAAATGAATTTCCTGTAGATGTGACGTGTTTGCCGCGTTCACTGACCTCCACTCTGTCAGGAGACGAGGCCGCCTCAGCCGGCACGTCGGACACCTCCTCCTCCTCCAGGGTTGCTCGCTTATAGCTGGACATCTGTGGAGAGAGAGGCAGGCAGTCAGAGACGTGCACCCTGACGCATACATAAGAAAAACAGCCGAGAAAATTGAATCTGCGGGGCGGAAACACAGAGCAGAGCTTCTGGAAACGCTGCCAAATGATCATCAACCTTTATTAAAACAGAGCCTCTCAGCCTGGCTCAGCTGCAGCATCGACGTAGGAAGCACTGCTGGGTCTGACAGGGTGGGGTTACAGCTGACCTGCAGTCACGCTGCACACAGACGTGAACCGAGGATAACTGTGACGAACACGTTTGTCCCTGGAGCCTGTCTTTGGGTTTCAAGGATGGCTTTCATTATTAATGTAAGAGGAACCTGTTGAACCAACAGGTGCACACACAGAAAACAGGTGGGACTCAGTGAATCACACGCGTGTCCACGCTACACCCACAGGTCAAACCTGTAAACTCAGTTTCTACACTAAGATCACTAAAAGGCTGATTTATTTGACTTAATCTGAACAAAAACAGCTGATGTCCTGATGCACGCTCAATCATCCAGGTAAGGAAATCCCAAAAGTCAAAGGAGCTTTTAAAGAAAAGTGTCTGGACTTCTTTAAGTTGCTTGAAGACGTTTCGCCTCTCATCCGAGAAGCTTCTTCAGTCCTGAACTGAAGAAGCTTCGATCTCCTTTGACTACGATGACCTGGATGACCGAGAACCTTCACAGACATGAATCCCAAAAGGCTGATTCTGCTCATCTGTTCGCCCTGAAACCAGCAGCACTGAGTGAAAGGAGGGAAAGACCATCTCTGAATCGAGGAGGGGGCCTAAGGGTACATCTGTCACCAAATGCTGTGATTGCAGCCTTTCCCCAACTCTCTGTGAATGGGACTCATGGTTATTGATCAGTGGGCTTTGATTCAATTCAATTCAATTTTATTTATATAGCGCCAAATCACAACAAAAGTCGCCTCAAGGCGCTTCATAGATACAGAGTAAAACCCAACAGTCATATGACCCCCTATGAGCAGCACTTTGGCGACAGTGGGAAGGAAAAACTCCCTTTTAACAGGAAGAAACCTCCGGCAGAACCAGGCTCAGGGAGGGGCGGGGCCATCTGCTGTGATTGGTTGGGGTGAGAGAAGGAAGACAGGATAAAGACATGCTGTGGAAGAGAGACAGAGGTTAATAACAGATATGATTCAATGCAGAGAGGTCTGTTAATACATAGTGAGTGAGAAAGCTGACTGGAAAGGAAAAACCCAATGCATCATGGGAATCCCCGGCAGCCTACGTCTATTGCAGCATAACTAAGGGAGGATTCAGGGTCACCTGGTCCAGCCCTAACTATATGCTTTAGCAAAAAGAAAGTTTGAAGCCTAATCTTGAAAGTAGAGATAGTGTCTGTCTCCTGAACCCAAACTGGAAGCTGGCGAAATCTGGTGGCGTTTACATGAGCCTGTCAGGAGTCGGGCTGCACAAATAAATATCAGCTCATGTTGAAGTGTCTCAAAGGTGTTGGTGTGGAGGCCAAAACAGGCCGCAGGCGTAGCAGCACTGACAACAGCTGATGATTTTGAAATGGAGATGGAACAATTTCAGAATAATGGTCGTCAATGAAAACAAAGACTCATCAGAGAACCTGGAGGAATCGCAGGGACATGGCCGATAACTGCGACCTTCATTAAAACATCCACGCTCAGCAGCTCGACGTGTCGTCCACACGTGCAGGCTACTGCTCCATCACGGAGAAGGAGCCAGGTGGAGGAGCGTGAACCCAGAAACAGGACGAAGCAGAGCCAGCACCGCCGGGCAGCTGCTGTCCTCGGCTCTCAGACCATCACAGACTGGCGTTGGCGATGAGCGTGGACTGTCCCTGCGAAGGACTCTGTGTTTGTGCTGCGACAGATGAATAAATATGAGAAACGTGCAGCTTGTGCAGTAAACTGAGAGCAGAGCGGGGCTCAGCATGAGGAGACAGTTAACTGTGATCAAATAAATCTGCACTTCCTCTGTTTACCCTCGGCCCCCTTCTCCCTCCTCCCACGCAGACTGCACCTCCACCCCTCGCTCATTGTGTGGCAGAAGCACAAACAGCACGGCGCTCCACCCTGCAGGGAGAAGCGAGCGCTGATCCCGGACCAGGGCAGAGACATAAACTCAAACAGCTGCGCTCCGTTTTCACAACACCAGCTCACATACTGCTTATGGGCGCCATGGAAACCACCGTGTGCGGTGCTAACTGTTAGCGTGTTAGCAGTGAAGCTGTGCTGAAGGCGTGAGGAGGATGATGATGATGGTCTGAACCACAGTTTACAGCTGATCTGAACTCTGACCAAAACTATGCAGACGCCCCCCTCGCCCCTCCTCCACCCTCACCCCCCTCGCCCCTCCTCCACCCTCACCCCCCTGCACTTTGTAAGAAATCCCACAAAGTGGAGCTTCGTGTTGTTTGTGCTGAGTAAATGTTTCCCTTCAGGCCTGCGGGGGCGCGACCGCCCCTGGGGGGGCTGAAGTTTGAAGGTTTCACTGCACTCTTTCCTTTTTGAGTAGTTTGACTTCATTGAGCGCTTTGGTTTTCGTCACCCTCCAGTGAAATATGATGTTTTTACAGGGTGTCTTTACTGTTGTGAATCACAGGAATGTTTCAGGGCAATGAAGCAGATGATGAGCAGGTTGGTGGGGGCCCCGAGGGCCGACACACCTCAGAGCCGCCGTCCTGTTTCAGCATCAACCGATTGTCGCGCTCGTAGAGGGCGACTCCTTCATAGTCTGACTGTACTGACGTCTACGCCAAACGAGGCTCTGCACCAGCTGATCTGCGAGCACAGTGAACTCTTTGCTGATGACTTTATAGACTCAGCCGCTGGTTTCATGTCTTAATAAATAAAACACGAAGTTCATTTTGAAACGATGTCCCGTTTGAGTCAAGGAGCAGAAAGCAGGGGAAGATTAACGAGCGGGGCTTTGCTGTGACTGCAGTGCGAGCTTGCAGCGTTCCTCAGTGTCTCGGACGGATCCACCGCCCGCTCGCCAAAAGCTCCGACAGCAGAACCGCTCAGTGCGAGGCCTAAAGAGCAGACCTGACAAGGGGGCGTGTCTGCAGCTGCGACCACCCCGAGGGCGTCGCACCTGAATGTGCAGGCCTGCAGTCGCACACGTCTCGTGGTTTCACACAGACGCTTTTACGTGACCTACGCTTACATCAAAGGCAACTTTTGTAAGTATCCTGAAGGAACAGCCCCCCCTGATACGACCTTTGACGGTTCAATCAGAAACAACACAAAGAGGGACTTTCCTAAAAGCTAGATGTTGGCGAGTGTGATGGCTTCAGACAAGCGTGGGCCCGCACATGAGCCCGAGTGAGTGTAACCATGGAAACGTGCGTCACACCGACACTTATCCGAGTCGACCTCAAACAGCCGACCCCACGCGAGCGTGCGAGCGCCGGCTCAGAGCGGGCGTTTGCCGTGAGGATACGCTCCAGCTGGCAGAAGAATAACCGCTGCCCAGGAACGAGCGGCGAGCTCCAGCAGCTTCTGAGGATGGATTTCTCCCACCGCGGGTCACAAAGGAGGCGCGGCAGCAGCTCTGTCTCAGTGTCAGCGGAGGGTGGGAGCGTCTTCCGGTCTATCCTCGGAGGCTCCGCGGTCTCACGGTCCTGCTGTCCTACAGGAAACCAAAGGTTTCCAACTGTTTCCTTCCTCGGGACCCACACTCGGGGGCCGTCTCTCTCTCTCTCCCTGTCTCACTCTCTGTCAGTGTCTCTCATCCGGCTCTGTTCTCTTTAATTGATGACGCACACAGAGGGGGAGAGAGGGGGGAGTGGGTTGCTAGGAGACAGGAGACAGGAGTGTGTGTTATATCTCTCTGTAGAGGTTGATGTCATTGTGTGTGTGTGTGTGTGTGTGTGTGTGTGTGTGTGTGTGTGTGTGTGTAATTAAATAATGCCAGTGAATCATCTCCATTCAGCTCGGATGGAGTTCACTGCAGCTTATATAACGCCTGTCTGTCTGTTCTGGATGTGAAGTCTGCTCTTTTGTCCCCTCGCAGCCTCCGTACTCAAACACATGACCTGAGGTACAAACACCTGAACACGAGCTTCATCTGCTGCTGACGGGCCTGAAAAACTCCACATCCAAGAGCGACAGTAGCCAGTACATCGCTGCTCATCACTCAGAACCAAGCAGACGCCCGAGGACACCAGCGAGCCCAAAAGTATTTGGACACTCTTGAAAGGATCTGGATTCACGTGAATCATCTGAACTGCTGTAAAAAGTCTGTGAAAAGCATCTGATCTCTGGTGCAGACACGTTGCCCTCTCTGCTCACGCTCTGCACCGTCCTCCATCACAGACTCTGGGCTTCTCAAGTGTAGCTGGATTTCACCTCATGCAGGAGACGTCTTCACTTTGAAACGTCAGACGTAAAGGAGGTCAGGTGTTTCTTTTTTTAAGTACGTCAGACTTCAGACCATGACTGGGATGACTGGGAACCTACAGAGATGATCCAGCACTCGCTTTGATTTCACAGAAGTTTGCAGAGAAAAGCGTCTGGACTTCTTTAAGTTGCTTGAAGCCGTTTCACCTCTCATCCGAGAAGAAGTCCAGGTGCTTTTCTTTGCAAGCTCCTGTGACCACGATGACCTGGATGACTGAGAACCTTCACAGACAGAAGTCAAAGTTCTTCTCATTAATGTAGAAGACAGAGCATCCAGACTCGCAGGCTCAGAGGTTGTGTTTGGACTTCATGACCTGAACATTTCTCAAAATCCCACAGCTTTGCCTGGAATAATTCAGGGAAGCTAGCATCACTCCGGCGCTCCAAAGCGTCTCCTTCCAGGTGAAGCTGCGACTCTTTGAGTCTTTCATACTGTTTTGTTTTCCATGAACTCGGAATCAGTGCACAAAGAACCAGCTGGACTGGTTTTCCACCCGATGATACGCATCATGCTCGATGCAAACAGAATAACCATAATGCACCAGTCCTCCCCGAGGGAGGGAACAGAGGAGCCAGATTATCCCTCCTCCTCTACC